AAAATGGATCGTGGATCATCAATTTTCACAAAGTTTTGGCCATTCAGCCTTTACTCCCATATATGACAAGTGTAGGTTGCGTAGGAATTGCAGCTTCATTTGATCCAGCTAAGTAGAGGTACTTTTGCTCAAAGTCCTGAAAAGTTAAAAAAATTTCTAAGTGTCATCAGCTTGTGCTGCCATCTATGGTCGTCAGTAGAAGTAAACAAATGCAACTTAATAGCAATTATTGTATTCTTCCTGTTTAAAGTACAGCATATTTTTCGAACATGTACAATTTTAAATCCATAATTAACTGACTAAATGTACATGTCTACTTTCTTTTCTTAAAAGATCTGGCACTATTACTCTGATAAAATTTGTTTACATGGTCACATGGCCATCCAAATTGAGAATTTTTTGAAAAGATTGTGTTTATAATTAATTAAGCAACTAATTTTCAAATAATATGAATAATAAAATGTATACATAAATTTGCAAACATCTAAAGTATCTGGTAGTAGTTTGTTTCTTTATAGTACTGAATGCAAAATCATTACCTGCATTACCAGGTGTAAGATGAATGCATAAAAAAACTTGATTAAGTACTCGGTTACATATGGAAAAAGAACTATATATACAACTAGCAGTTGCTGTTATGATGTATGATTTGAAGCCTCCTGTGTTTTTGATCAATAATGTTATTGTAGTTCCCGATATTCTGTTTGATATCTTTCTCATGCCTATTTCATTTGTAGAAGTTCTGAGAAAGTTGCAAAATTTGAGAGTCTGTGGGTGTCATTCTAAGATCTGTGTGAATAACAGAATTTCTGATGAACCATGGTGCATTGGTGATTATTCGTATTGACTGTAAATAAAGTATTCTTTTTGTATTCAGGCTTAATTTGGAGTTTTAACCTATTAAAGGGTAAACGCTCATTAGAGTTTTGTTTGATTTATCTTTCACGTCTTGTATGTATTTCTTAGAGGTAAGTTTTTCATCTAAAGTTACACTTAGATATTTGATCTGTACATCACAAGACACATTTTCACCAATCAGAGTAATTTCTCCAATGTTGTTATTGTTGGAATATTTTTGGAAATAAACAACAGTATATTTATTAGGATTAATCTTAATTTTCCATGCCTTGAACCATTGTGATAAAATGTTAACAGCCTCTCAAAGTTTTTTTTTCTTTTTTCTTTTGGCAAGCCTTGGATTAATAGATTTACTGAGGATAGCAGTGTTGTCTGCATAGCAGGCTGTCAGGGCGTTATTGTTGTTTGGAATGTCATTAACATATAAATCGAAGAGTATAGCACAGTTACCAAGCCTTGAGGCATGCCAGCATGGATATTCTTGATGTTTGAGAAAGTATCTTTGATTGTGATTGTGTTCTTGCAGTGAGGTGGCTGGCAATGAGAAGAATGATATTAGGAGGAAAATTATAAGAAATGAGTTTGATAAGGAAGCCTTCGTTCCAAATCATACAATGTCAATAAAATGTCCAATGACTGCCTCCTCCCTATTGAAGCAGGTTTCAATGAATTCAGCAATCCTGATAACTGAGTGGGTAGTTGGGAAGTTATTGCAGAAGCCAAATTGGTGGTCCTTCATGATGAAAGTAAATCTGTTTACTATTAAACGCTCAAATAACTTTTCCAGAATTGGTAAAAGGCTAATGGGGAGGTAGTCAGTGTTATTGAATACGGATTTTGGGGATTTCTAATTATGGTAGTGATTGCATGTTTCCAAGGAGATCCAAAGCTTCTAATTGCTTTTCAAGATTATGTGCCTGACACTTTCACTGGAAGCCACACTCTCCAAACCTGAATGCCTGCCTCTTCAGTTGATTTTACTCCTGCGCCTATGAGATCATCTTTTTACGATTTAGTGATATTTTTCAGAGCACTGTATCTCCTCCTTTTTCTTCTTTTCAGAATCTCTTAAAAGATTAATGCCTGTACAATCAATGTACAATTTTCAGCCTGTTAGGCCTCTACTGGAAAGAGCTGCTAAAAATTAGCCAGTTTTAAAACAAATATACAAGTATTCATTTTTTACTATTATGTTATCCTTTTCTGGTCTTAATTAAAAGAAAAAAATTCTTGTAGTCTAGAAGTCCACACATGAGATCATTCTGGATATTAGACACCTGGATTTCAGCTTTATAGTATACTATAATGGACAAAAGAAACACTGAGCGGAAGGGATTAGTGCACATTGAGCTTCAAAAGGATGACAATAGAAGACCATATAACTTAGACTGTTGTAGGTTCTTATATAAACTAAAACAATTAAGAGTGGGCTTTTACAATTCACTTCAGGGTTAACAATTCCCATATCATTTCTAACAGATGTGAATGTAAAACAGCAATTGCAGTGATGCCATAAACACAGAACCTAGTCATTTGATGTATGCAAGAATGCTGATTGGTCAGATAAATGATCTTTTACATTGTTCCTTATGTAATGTAATGTATGTTAGTCATGTGTAAAGAGTTTAAGATATGTATAGTATTGTTTTATATCATCTACGAAATACAAGATGGATCTATCTTGACTTGGTAGCCAGTGCATGGCTTTCTACAGGGTTAATTCTAATCCTAGAAGAAGAGCTACTGCCAGAAATTATTTTGAAATTGAATCAGTTGGATCCAGGCATCTCCATAAGTAGTATGAAGAACTCAAAGACATATTAAAATATATTATCTCTGTCCTTCTTTCTTCCCTGATCGTATTGGCATCAAAACATTGTTCTCCATATTAGGAAATAAAGATGATATCCATTACCAGCATCTTTAGAAGAGCTTCCATGATTTCTTCATGAAGAATGGTATTGTTTCCTAAAGCACTATCCATGACTTGCATAATTCTAGTCTGCGAAAAATTCAAGTGGTGTACATAGCAAGCTAAAGATGTCCCTATATCTTAATAAAAAATTTCATAGTTGATAGAATAGAAGGGAAACACATCAATGTGACAATTAAAATCTCAATAGCAACCTTGTATTTGGCGTACATATACGAGGGCTATCCAGAAAGTAGATTACGTTTTGGAATAAAAAAATAAACAAAGTATAGGAAACAAATTTTATTATATACAGATGAAAGCCACACTCAAATACTACTTTTCTACATAGTCACCATACAAATTAAGGCATTTATCGTAGCGATGTACGAGCTTGGAAATTCCTTCGTCGAAAAATTCGGCCGCCTGCGCCTTCAACCACTTCGTTACCTCTTCTTGCAGCTGTGCGTCGTCATCAAAACGCTGCATAGCCAGCCACTTCTTCATTGCTGGGAATAGGTGGAAGTCGCTCGGTGCCAGGTCGGGACTGTACGGCGGATGAGGAAACAACTCCCACTTAAAAGATTCAAGAACTTTACGAGTGACATTTGCCGTGTGGGGCCGGGCGTTGTCGTGAATCAACAAGATCTTAGAGCTCAACATTCCTCTGCGCTTGTTTTGAATTGCTCTTCTGAGTTTTTGGAGAGTTTGGCAATACCTTTGAGAGTTTATTGTAGTGCCTCTTTCCAGGAAGTCCACCAAAATTACACCTTTTCTGTCCCAAAAAACAGTCGCCATCATCTTCCTTGCCGACATTGTTTGCATGCATTTCTTGGGTTTTTGGGGAGAACTTGTGTGCCCCCACTGCATTGATTGCAATTTCGTTTCACAGTTCACATGTTTCACCCATGTTTCGTCACCAGTAACGATGCGATCGAGTAAAGAGTCACCATCCTTATGGTAAGCGTCCAAAAAGTTCAACGCTGCAGCCATTCGCTGATTTTTGTGGTCCTCTGTCAAGATTTTTGGAATCCATCTTGCACAAAACTTGTGGTAACCAAGCTTTTCGCTGATGATTTCGTGCAACAAACTTCGCGAAATTTGTGGAAAACTCAAAGAAAGTTCCGTTATTGTGAAATTTCGATTTTCACGGACTTTAGCATCGACTTTTTCGAGAAGTTCGGCGGTCACTATGCTGGGTCTCCCACTTCGATCTTCGTCGTGAACATTGGTTCGGCCATTTTGAAATCTTATGACCCACTGACGCACTCCACCTTCAGTGATAATGTTGTCCCCCATACACTTCACGAAGCTGCCGATAGATTTCTATCGGTTTACAGTTTTTTGCAGTCAGAAACCTTATTACTGAGCGCACCTCGCAGCTCGCGGGATTTTCAATTAACGCAGACATTTCAAACCGTCACAGTATCTGAACGGAGCACAGCACGAACCTCTCACTAGCACGGCTAGATGCAGACTGAGCTGCGCAACGCTCTGACCCCAAGATGGCCGCGCTAGCCCCGCCCCTAGCGGACACAGACGGAAACGTAATCTACTTCCTGGATGGCCCTCGTATTACAGCACTCTATCGATTTCGAGGGCAGCTAAAGGTCCCTCCTCAAAGTAGGCGGCCAGTGTAACTCTGATTCATAAATCCGGTAATGACCACATGCAGTGCTGATAACGAGCACAGGTTTCTGAGACTCCTTTTGCCAATGCTTTATTTTCTTCTTTTTTTTCCCCTTCTAGGAATTTAGTTCTCCTGATGAGGAGGGACCTTTAGCTGCCCACGAAATCGATTGAGCATTGTAATATATGTACGGCAAATACAAAGTTGTTATTGCGAGTTTAATTCATAGTTGATATTTTGATTAGTTTAATAACTATTTGTTTATCTGCATAACAGTATGTGTACACACTCACTTGTGCACGTATGTGTACACACTCACTTGTGCACATGTATGGGAATGTTGTATTTCTCAGCATTACATTTTCTGATATTTTTCAGATTATTTCCTATCTTTCTTTTTAAGATATCAAATCTGTAACAACCATTTTATTCTTTGATTATTTTAAAAATATCCTAATCCTCCTAAATCTCCTCCTAATACTGCTGTTTGTTAATAAGTTGGAAAAATGTATATGAGAGATGGAAAAGTATTTTAAAAATGTGCATGCCTTATCTGTTTTATCACATACTAAAGTAACAAGTAACATATTTTTTTTCCAGTCTCTTTGTGCCCAAACTGTGTTGGACCGTAAAGAAGAAGAGAAAATGTGTGATCACTTGATAACAGCAGCTCGTCGTCGTGACAGTGTGACTGCCTGTAGAAATATAGAAAAAATTTTGAACATTCTCACAAATAAACACGGTGCATGGGGAAACAAAACAAATGCTATAATAAGGGAATATCTGAAGTTAGATTCATGGGAAGATGATGCACGGAGAAGAAAACGTTTTGTTCAGAATCCCTATGGATCTAGTCATCCTGAAGCCACACTGAAAGCAGCAATTGAGCATGGTAAGAAGAACCTTTTTAATCTATTGAGAATGTTGATACTCATGTTTTTGTTCTGTTAATATCTTATGTAAAAATAATTTAAGTAACTTGGGAGCATGAATTATGTATCTTCTAATCTATTACCATTATAAAGATAAATGTAATTTTTGCTTCTAATTAATCAGAAGGTTATTGTAAATATAACAACATTTTAATTAGCAAAATATTTAATAAATTAAGTATTTTTTCATAATTAATGACCCAATTTAGTTCATGTTCAGAGATCAGTAATGAAGCTCTGCATACACATACAGGATATAGTTCTGAATGTCTGTCTCTGGATATCCGAGAAAAGTGCTTTTCTGCTGAAATTAATGGTATCACCTCTCAATGCCAAAAATAACATTTTTTTGGCTGTTACAGTGTGAAGAATATATTTTAGAAGTTTGTTTGACTGAAAGTATTAATTTTTTGAAGCAGTTAAAGAAGAAAAGTATAATTGCTGATGTAAAGCAACAAAGTAAATTAATGCTTTCAATAATTAAGACACAATAACACGCCGAATAAATACTAATTCAGAAGTCAAACAACAAAAATCAGCAAACAACAAAAATCAGCATTATGTTTACAAAATTTTCACAGGACTAGTTTCGATGGTTTTCCGAACCACCATCCTCAGCTGCAAAATCGCAAATGAACAAGATAGGAAATAATGATTAGATAAGATAAAACAGCCTGGACAAGAATAAGCAAGTGGCGCCATCTGTTGGTGAAACCAGAATTAAAACATAATTTCTTTAAAGGCCGAAGGCAAATTTGGATTGGAATTAGGATCGTTAACTAGAACAGAAAGATTTTTATGAATGTGAAATGCCTCTAGAAAATCCAGTTCTCCAATGGAAGATGTTTTTTGAATGATTTTGGCAGCAGAAAAATTGAAAGTGTGATTTTCGGACCAACAATGTTGAGCAACAGAAGACTTCTGTGTTTCCTTTTTTCTAACATATGCCTCATGTTCCTTGATGTGAAATTTTAAGACTCTCTTAGTTTGGCCAACGTAAATTAAACCACACTGGCAAGGAATCCTATAAATACCCCAGGAATTCATATCCGGAATGGGGTCCTTGGGTATGGAACTCAGAATTTTATTGATGGGAGAATAAACCCAGTTTTAAGTTTACCCTGTTTGAAGGTAATAAAAGATGATTTAAATAAAGTTTTTTCAACAATGAATTCTATTGATCCTGCTATTCAGTTCACTTTTGAACTTGAGACTTGCAATTCTCTTCCGTTTCTCGACATTCTGGTCACACGTAACACATCCAACTTCAGTACTACGGTTTACCGTAAACCTTCATCGGTTTGCCTTCCACCTCACTTTAAATCATTTCATACAACTAAACAAAGTTGTAGCTTCATTTTATTCCTATGTTTTCCGTGCTCTTCAAGTTTGCTCCTCCAAACTAGCCCTTGATGAAGAACTAAATTATTTAAAAGCAATAGCTATTGACAGGGGCTTTTCACCCAAGATTATTAATCAAGCAGTTAAAAAATTCTCATCTCAACACACTAAAAGGCACACTCTTGTTTTAGGAGATTATAAAAATTCTGTTGTCATTCCCTTCTTTCCATCAATTAGCTATAAAGTTGCACATATTTTGCAGAAATTTAACTTTCGGGTTGTTATTCTCCCATCAATAAAATTCCGAGTTCCATACTCAAGGACCCCATTCCGGATATGAATTCCTGGGGTATTTATAGGATTCCTTGCCAGTGTGGTTTAATTGACATTGGCCAAACTAAGAGAGCCTTAAAATTTTGCATCAAGGAACATGAGACATATGTTAGAAAAAAGGAAACACAGAAGTCTTCGGTTGCTCAACATTGTTGGTCCAAAAATCACACTTTCAATTTTTTCTGCTGCGAAAATTATTCAAAAAACATCTTCCATTAGAGAACTGGATTTTCTAGAGGCATTTCACATTCATAAAAATCTTTCTGTTTTTAGTTAACGATCCTAATTCCAATCCAAATTTGCCTTTGGCCTTTAAAGAAATTATGTTATTATTGTGTAATTGTGAAAACTGCATATAATTATGCAAACAGAGAAAGTTTCTTCATAGTCTTAGTCTCGTTTTTTTAACCCGTATTGAAAAGCAAACTTCTTTTGTAGATTATCCATATTTATTTATAGGATTTCGCATCAACATATATTCATCAACTTTTGTTTTTAATTAAAATAAAGAAGTTTATTTTTGTAATCGTTGATAACAATTATTTTTGTATGCTTTCCAGGGGCCCCTGAAGATGCAATTCTGCAGGCTCGAGAAGAATTTCATCAGCATCTTGCTCTCACTCGCCGGCAACAGCAACATCATTTGCAAAGTAGTGACTTACTTGATGATAGTGATTTATGGGATGATAAAGATCTTGATGCTGAACTAGCTGGTAAGTTGAATATTGTGTGCAAATGTCTTGTCAATAGTTAAATAAGAGCTTTCACTTCTCATGCCTATAGTTGATGCCATGCTTGTATGCAGTAATTCATGATGATCAGAATTTTATAGCTCTTGTATCTGTGCTTCCTAGTGCAGCTATAAAGAAAAATTAGAGGAAACATAGGTCATAGCTACCCAAAACTAATTTTTATTAATTAATTTTAAAAAAATTTAAAGTTCATATTTAATACAGTATAAATATGTAGTTTTAGTTACTTATTTGTCAACCTTAAATGCTAAAATTTGATGAAAAATACAGCGTAATCAAACTTACATAAATTATATAATGCAACACATATTACTTATCAAATTATTATTATATATATTATTATATATACTATATATATATTATATATATATATATATTATTATTATATAATGCAACACTATTGCACATATTGCACAGATTACTTATCAAAAATTTGAAAACCACTAATTAATTTTTATTTTGGTATGGAAAATATTTTGTAAGGGTAGCAATCTACACGTTTGTTTGCTTTTAAAAATATGAACTAGTTTCTTTCTTTTTTGATTCCATTCATTTGGGGGGGGGTAGCAAAAGAGATCATACAAAAACTCTCCATTATGCATTTAATCCGAATTATTATATACTTATTATAGATAGAGTAATAATATGCAATCATGGATACAGTAACTGTATAATATCTTTAACCAGACATATTAACAATATATAGATATAGCAATAATATTGCACATTCACATAATATGTTAATTTAGTTTTTGCTAAGATTTCAAATGCTTAGTAATTAATTCCATAAAAATATAAGCTGACAGGAAAATTATAAAATAATCTCTTTAAATAAAAACAGAACTCACTCTTGCCATTTAATAAAACTAAGCCCTTATTGGTAAAATGTACTTAAAACCAAAAGAAACGTGTAAACTAGTGATTTCCAAATAGTTTTTCACCAATTTCAGAGGTCTGAAAAACACTTTTACACATTGAAATTAAAATATCTTCAATTACTTTTATATCTGATGGCCAGAACAATATTACAGTCAATTTGTTTTACTGTATGAGTATTATGCATACTAAAATGTCTTCATATTCTTGAACTGACATATTGTGATTGATTAGGGTCATATCAGATGGGATGAAATACAGGGACAGGCATACACTGGACGTATTAAAACAAATGCTAAAGGTTTTTGTACTTTTTAATACTACAAGTAATAATCTAATATTATTGCTGTAATTTAGTATAATTAAAGCTGTTATTTATTTTCCAATAGTTGTATATATAGGTTGAGTGTACACTGCTAGCCATTAAAACTGCACCAGGAAGGAAAGCAAATAGAAAAAAGATATTTATTGTATGTAAGCAGTGTGGCATGAAGACAAAATGATTAAATTTGTTATCAGTACATTGGTGGGCAGTAATTATGTGAGAAGTATAGGGTGGGCAGTTTTGTCAGCAGTACAGGGATGAGGAATTAGTAGAAACAGCTGCCACTCTTGACAGCTAGAACGACCCTTACCCGGTTAGGCATAGAGTCAAACTGCTCTTGTATGACAGAAATGGACAACTCATTCCATGCTGCTTCAAGTCTATGCCACACTTCATCAACCATATTAGCTGAAGAGATTTAGCGGGCTACTCTTTCATCGCCACATGACCAGTTGTTTTCAGTAGGTTACAGATCTGAAGACCATTCAGGCCAGCAATCGAATATGTGATCTGTCATTTTCTTGTTGAAAGATGGCATTTGGCAGGCCTCGAAAATAAGGCACAACCACTGGACGTAAGATGTCAGAAATGTACCGATTTGTGTTCAAATTATCGTTGACCCGAACTAGAGATGTGCATGTCATGTACCAAATGGCTACTCAAATCATCACACCAGGTGCAGGGCCCCTATGGCAATATCAAATGCAAGGAGGGAACTTGAGGTCTCTTCAGAGCCTCCAGACATGTATACAGTCATCAAAATACTGCTACATTATCAAGGGAAGCCGAAGTAATGGTCGTCGTATAAATAGTCCATGCGACTGCAAACATTGGTGCACTGTACAGGCATATACTAGGTGTGCCGCAAACATGCCCATTTCCTGACTAATAGTCCATGATGTGGCTGTACGGTTTTGCAGGGGCTGATCTCACAATATGTTTGTTCTCTTGGGAGTTGGTCACGGGAGAGCACCAAAATCCTGCATGTTGTTCAGTGTGACCTTCAGTAACACGTTTATTCCATATTTGCATGACAAGGGTTGGATGTTGACTAGTACAACGGGCGATATCACAGAACAATAATCTACACTCTGAATAGGTAATGATGCTGCCTCTATTTAATTCCAACACTTGCTGGTAAGCATTTTATGTTCTTATTTGTGGCATAATGTATGGGGGTTGTAAATTAAATAGTGGCAACTTAACCTTGAAACTCGCAGAAGGGCAGGGGGGCATGCACAAATAGGATATAGGAGGTGGCGCTGTTGTTGATGTGTAGAGTGCAAAAAGCAGTCGACCTGCTTAGAAGGGTAGTTGTTGTGGGGCATTAAGGAGAGGAGTTTCATTTCCATTGCTCTAAAGCATGTTTTCAAAAGGTGATCAGCGGTTGTGGCTTAAAATCGAGGTTGCCCATGGCAAAAATGCAACAGAATGCTATCGAAGGATTAGTGGAAGCCTGTGGCACGAAATGCTTTACCGTATAGGACTGTAGCACGATTGGGTTCAAACATTTCGTTCGGGTTGGAATGAGACTTGCGGATTTGCAATGCACAGGTCGGCCCTCTATTCCTCAAGAGCAGATTGACATCCTGAGCAGTCTCCTTATCAAAGACTGCCGATGGACTGTCTGAGAATTATTCTTAGAGGTTGGTCTGAGTCAGCAAACGGTGCAGTGCATGATGAAGAAATCTCTCAACATGAGGAAAATTGCTTCCCGCTGGGTTCCACATTAACTAACCGCAGTACAGAAATGGCACCGGTATGCACTGGCTGGCACTCACTTGGAGAGATACCGCAATGAAGGAGATGCATTTCTGCAGCGTATTGTCACCATTGACGAGACATGGGCACGAACCTATGAGCCTGAATTAAAGCATCATTCAAATGAAAGGCATCACCAAGGTTCGCCACGTCCACAGAAATTTCGACAGGAACCCAGTCGGATGAAGGTTATGCTGATTATGGCATACAACTGAGACAGTGTGATTCTTACATATGCTGTACCTGAAGGACAAACTGTCAACGCAGATTACTATTGCCGATTTCTACAGCACCATCTGCGTTTGGCTATGCGGCGCAAAACGTCCATGTTTATTGCACAACAATCTCCATATCGTAATGCATGACAACGCTCGTTGCCGTGTTGCAAACAATGTCACTCTCATTTTGCAACGATGGCAGTGAGAACTCCTGGAACACCCTCCCTACTCACCTGACATGAGTCCTTGTGAGTTTGATCTGTTTCCGAAGTTGAAGGAACGCCTCTGAGGTCACCGATTTCATGACATTTCATCTGTACTCCACGCTGTAGGGCGCTTGGTTACTCACATCAACAATCAACACCTTGCCACTGGTCTACAATGGCTTCCCAACATTTGGCAAAAGGTTATAAGCTTTGCTGTTGATTACATAAAAGGAATGTAATGCAGTTGTACTTGTAAGTTAATTAAAAATTGAGTTATACCTTTGTTGCTGTTACTAAATATGCAGCCTTCTTACAATATTCTGAGCAAACTGCAACCTTACAAAGTGCTTTCTGAATGAGAAATCCACTACATAACTTTTCTTTTATGCAGTGCTTCAGATGTTGTTTCTGCCACCTGCATAATTTAAATGCACTGAAATATTAATTGTTTGCATGTTCCAACCTCTTTTTTCATGTTATTTTGTTGTTTGTCAGATCATTCCTTCCTGGTGTTGCAGTTTTAATGGCCAGCAGTGTATTTGGTAAATGTGGTGTAAAAAAAGAATAAAATGACAGTTGAATATTCTCTGGGAACATTAAACTTTCAATTTAATGGAGAACCATGCAATGAAATTACATTAAGGAATTCTTGTATGTTCTCCAAAATCGAAAATGTTCCTTAACTATACTAGGTAAAAAAATGAATAAGCTTGTTAAAAAGTATTATTTAAAAATATATATGTTGTTTTTATATGTCTTACTCTAGCAAGAATAATGCTGTTGTCATATGAAACACTATAAATAAAATATGATATGAAGCATAATTAGACAAAAGTTTCTTTTTTTTTTTTTTTTTTTTTTTTTTTTTTTTTTTTTTTTTTTTTTTAATATTCGGATTGGATTTGATCCAAAATGAAAATAGTAACATTTGGAAGAATTTTTTAGCTCTATTAATAAATTTTAAGTTGAAAGTGCATATAAATTTGAGATTCCAGGAATAGTTATTTTCTTGCAGAATATGGTGAATTTAAAATTGTAATTAAACTCTGTAATATGGTAATTTTTTCAGTTACATTTAAACTGAAATGCTATCTTATTCAATAAAAAGTTTGTACTTACCAGTTTAACAATTACAGAATGGCAATAATGATTTTCACCAAAATGAATGGAACAAAGCCACATATGATGCACATTCAACCTACGCTAAAGCAGCAAATCCGAATTCTGAAGAGAGCAAATAGTTATTGGCGACTTTCATGTGTAGTGCTGCCAGACTTAGATGAAAAATTAGGGAGGTCATTTACTTCTTTAGGTTTAGTTACTTGCTTAACTGTTTCTTGTAATAAATGTTTCCTTTGTGTTTACTTAAATACATGGCATACATGCAATTACTTAAATACATGGCACTTAAATACATGCAAAATATAAATGTAAACTTTATATTTTATTAATATTTTATCTTCTTTAAAACCCATGTTTGTTAAACTTTCAACATTGGTTTGCTGAGAGATTCTCCTACAGGATGCTTTATTTTAGAAGTGTATTAAACTATATCTGTCCATGGTGAAATTTGTTTCTGAGGGAATAAATTGTTTTCCATGTGTAACAAATAGTGTCTTATAAAAAAGAACAGAACAGAGGAAAAAAGAAAAAAGGAAGGGGGAACAAGAGCACTTTGAGCTATTAGAAGAAGGAAATTTTTATTTTGAATTATTCTGTTGCTATAGCATTCTTAAGATATTTGTTTCAGCATTAATTGCTAATTTACAGGTCCTGTCAGCTTCAGTACCAAATGCAGGCTAATTGCCCCTGGTGTGGTAGTACCTGGAATGTTATCCATCACCCAAGCTGAAATGTTTTTTGAAGTGGATGAAGATGATACCGAATACAAAAAAATGGATCCTGAGGTATTTAATTTATTTTCAGAATACTAGTATTTTTTTGCAGGCTCCTTCCTTTAGACTGAAATTTGAGTGAAGAATTTTCCATCAGTAGGCCTAAAATTAAACATGAGTATAGTTTTTTAGGATAAGAAGGGGGGATTTTATGTAAAGCATTTTTCACTGTTTAATTAAAATGCCCACATTTATTTATTCTGCAAACAGACAAAATAATAATCACATTTATTTGTATTCACTGTTAATAATATATTTAAATTTTACCAAAATTATGAATAGTTTTTTTGGGGGGTATACTATTCTGTGTATAGGAATTGAAATATAAAAAAATATACTTTTCTGGTAACATGCAGACATTTCAAAGAATGTGAAGAAGTAGAAAATAAAGTGTAAACAGACTGCTCTTAAATTCTTAGATAATATAAGACTTATTTAAAAAAAATTTATCAACAGGCAATTGTGACACATAATACAAATATGATTGAAATATTTATGAATTCTTGTGAAGTTTTAAAAAAACCATTGTTAATTAAGTGTAATTGTATTTTTATTCTCATAAACAGTTTTAATGTATTATAGCTATGGTCCATAATAATTTTATTAATTGATATAAGAAAAATATGTACTGTTAAAAATTTCTATTAAGGTTTTTCCAATAGAAGTTTATACTAATTTATAATGGTTATCCTGAAAAGGAATGTATGAATTGATTCTTTGTGTATGAATTTCCAGTAAGACATTCTGAACTAGATGTTTACCAACTTTTCCTCATCTCTTCAATAATTCCACTCATCTGATAATGCATGAAAGTCTGTGAATATTTTCATATCTTTAATGGTATCACTGAAACTTTTTTCTTGAGGTTTGTAGCATAATAAGTTGCATCTTTAGCAATTAAATAATATATTTCTTTGGTAATTGTATTACATAAACTATAAAATCAGTTTGTGATTCTAGTTATTCCAAACAAGTCTTAGGAGGTTTTTCTTCTATATGGAGCTACTTTGTGTGCTTTGATGTTGTTTTCTTCCATGCTGCATGCAGCATTTTTCGTTTTCAATGAATTTGTAATTCTAGTTATTCCAAACAAGTCTTAGGAGGTTTTTCTTCTGTTTGGAGCTACTGTGTGTGTGTGCTTTGATGTTGTTTTCTTCCATGCTGCATGCAGCTTTTTTTGTTTTCAACATACCCTTTTTGCAGAACTTGAATGTAGTTTGATACCATTACATTTCTCATCTGCTATAATTATTAATATTTCCAGATGAAGTCTTAACATCTGGAATTGTCATCACATGTCTTTCTCATATCTCAGTTTTTTAACTTTAGCCCATACTGCTTCATCATTTTAAAGCTTTTAGAAAACATATATTCATTCAATACCATCCTCTGCAAGAACTAATGCATAATGTTGCTTTTTTTTTTTTTTTTTTTTTTTTTTTTTAATTTATTTTTTTTTCTGAGGAAAAGTCATCAAAGAAAAGTGGAAAATATAAAAGTAGTAAAAATTTAGGAGGTAAAAGTAGAAGCAAAGAATAATGATTGATTCAATGTCCTTTTTGTAGACTGCAATACTAGCATTTAGATTTGTGCTAATTATAATTATTTAGAATGAAAGCTCATTTAAAATTAAATTATTACATCTATTAGAGAATTAGCATTTTTCTATATAAGTATGGATAAAATTTAAATTAATTTTGCAATTTTGTTGCTTTTCTGAAAAATATCATATAATTAAGAAAAAAAAGTCAGCAATGAAGACTTTGTCAGTTTCTGTTGTACTGCTTTAAAAAACAAATTCAGTAAAAATTTGACTCAAGCTAAATGAGAAGACAAATTATCTATTAATTTTTTAATCCTTTTACCTCAGCGTTGAAACTTTAATAGTAGCAGCTATTTATTTGTATATGATACAAAATAGTAACACTTTTACTCTTCTTTTATGTAATCACCAGCATTGTGGGCAATCTATTGCCAGCCATGTGAAATTTGTAGTCTACTTGTAGCAGCACCTGTTTTGTCAGTGATTCAAATGGAGCTGTCTATTTTTGGTAGAATCTTTGGAATAGTTTGGAAGCAAATTCTATTTTAGGAATCAAATCATAGTCTCAATTGCTTAAGTCCAAGGAATTCAGTAGATAGTAGAGCATATCCCAGCCCTGTTAAACGAAGAAATTATATGCACATAATACTGAGTAATGCCTAGCAGAATAATTACAGGATTCTACAAAAAGCATCATCACTTGTTTCATAATGTTGATTGCAAGTTGCAATCCAAAAATCAACAAAAGTATTTTACATTTACAGTCTGTCCTTGGTGTACAGTATACATTAGGATAATGCTGGTATCACAATGAAATATGAGAATCAGGCCAGAAATGTTGCCATTATTAAAGTCCCAACCGGCTTATTTGGTCTATCTGGAGTGATGTTGGAAGTTATAAACATGGGCTTTAAAGACATAATACCTAATTCATAAGTGAAACAACAAAAATCAACGTTATATTTTCAAAATTTTCTCAGGACTAGTTTCGATGGCTTTACCGAACCACCATCCTCAGCTGCAAAACTGCAAATGAGCAAGATAGGAAATAATGACTAGATAAGATAAGAAAGCCTGGACAGGAATAAGCAAGTGGTGCCATCTGTTGATGAAACCAGAACTAAAACATAATTTCTTTAAAGGCCGAAGGCAAAGACGGATTGGAATTAGGATCGTTAACTAGAACAGAAAGATTTTTTTTAATGTGAAATGCCTCTAGAAAAATCCAATTCTCCAATGGAAGATGTTTTTTGAATAATTTTGGCAACAGAAAAATTGAAAGTGTGATTTTCGGACCAACAATATTGAGCAACAGAAGACTTCTGTGTTTCCTTTTTTCTAACATATGCCTCATGTTCCTTGATGCGAAATTTTAAGGCTCTCTTAGTTTGGCCAATGTAAATTAAACCACACTGGCAAGGAATCCCATAAATACCCCAGGAATTCATATCCGGAATGGGGGTCCTTCTCTTATGAATTAGTATTTATTCGGTGTGTTATTGTGTCTTAATTGCATAATACCTGTTATATAAATAGTATGCTGGGCACTAATGGGCTAATGTAATAAGTATATTGAGACTGTCTGCAAGACAGATCTGTTTATTCAGAATAAAACTATAAAAGGGATATTTATTGATATTAGACCATAATTTATTCTGCAAAAGAATATCAAGTTCACATTTAGCAGCATCTCCAATAAATAGAAAGTGGTTAGTGAAATTTCCATATCGCAGTAATTTTTCAGCATTTGCATCATTTTATAATGATGGACTTCTAGCAGTAAAAGGTTATGTTGCATGATTTTCATACAGTGGGTAAGTATTCATTGTACTCTTTTTATTGCAATTTCATCTCACATGTATTTACTTTCCAGGTGAACTTGAATTCTAAATAAATTAAATTAAACCTGATAGAGGTTAGATAGTAAAGAAAAAAGGTAAAAAAAAAAAAAAAAAAACCCTTAGTCATATGAATGGTATGCAAATTAAGTTTTGAAGCAAAATTTTTTAGCAGCATTAAATGAAATTGTGATTAATAGTTAAAATAGGATATGTTAAGCTATTTATGATGAAAATATTCCTTGCATTTACTTTAGATAAATTTTATTCAAAAAAAAAAAAAAAAAAAAATCTAAAATTGCTAATAAATGAGAATAAAAATTAATGTTTATTTTAAATGTGAGACATTCCTAATTGGTATGTTTGTGAAATGCCAGTTTTATTTAATTAATGCATGCAGGCTTCATTCTACAATTATTAAAGGTAATATGGCTGTTGAGATTTTCATTGGAATGTAATTTTAATATAAGAATTTTTAAGCTAATCACAACCAGAGTCTTTTGAGGCAGAATTATCTTTGTTTGCAATATGTGTTGCGTTAGGAATTTCATACGCTGTTAATGACTGGAACTAAAATTTAATTTTTATGATTAGAAAAGTATACAGAGAGTAATTTCTTTTTACTTCCATGAAGATATTTTTTTGAAATTGCAGACCAATAGTAGTTTTCATTGTCTTCTAGCAGATTATTTTTGTATCTGTAAAATTTGTTCATTTACAGATTAGTTCTGAGTCCCCAGAAGTTTATTGTTATTGAAAATCTGATAAGTGTTTTTTTTTTTTTTTTTTCCATACTTAAAGATAATGTCTATTAAAAATTAATTATGCGCTTGAAGAGGGATTAAGAATTTAAAAAAATTGAGCAAATTTTCTGTTTTCCATGCTTCTTTCGAATTTATAATTTAAAATCTTTGAAGTAAAAGTTGATTTCTTTTAGCTACTATGATCTTTGAAAATAAATAAGGCAATAAATAATTAAAATAAAAAAAGTATAGAGAGCGGCCTTAATCCTCCCCCCCCCCATTATGCTTTAGACTAAAAACTGAGAATGTTCAAAAGAGTTTGAAACATTCTGAAACTTATCCAAAATCCTTGCTTTCCAGAGCATAATGTAAAAGGCAGGGCTAGATTAACCTTTAAGCAATATAAGCACATGCTTAGGGCATTACAGCAAGGGACACCAAAATCCAAAAAATTTCTACTTGTCAGTTCTATCATGAAATGCACGGTACAGCTAAACCAAAACTGAGAGAAAAAAGGAATGAAGAAAAAACTGGTGTAAACATATGTGGGGGCACTCAAACTTTTTTAGTGCTTAAGGCCTCTCAAGGTCTTAAGCACTAAAAAAGAATACCAAATTCACATTTAGCAGCATCTCCAATAAATAGGAAAGGGGCTAGTGAAATTTCCATCTTGCAGTAATTTTTCAGCATTTGCGTCATTTTATAATGATGGACTTCTAGCAGTAAAAGGTTATGTTGCATGATTTTCATACAGTGGGTAAGTATTCATTGTACTCTTTTATAATCTTGGTCATAAATTTAAACATTTCGTTTAAACATATGTGGGGGTACTGAAACTTTGTAAGTGCTTAGGGCCTCTAAAGGTCTTAATATGGTTCATAAATTTGAAAATTGATAACAAGCAGTGTTGAATCTTTATTTTGTATTTAGTATTTAAACTTTAAATTAAAGCCAAATAAAACTATGCAACATACAGGTTTTTCATTTCACTTCCAGATGATGACAATGGGATCAAAATGAGCAATTTGGAAACATTTCACCTTTTTAAAACATTTTCATAGTTTCCACTGGCAACAAGATTATTAGTAGAAAGTGTGTTTGATATTCTGTGAAAATTCATTATTTTATGAATATTTATATCATTAGTATAATTAATGCAATGACATTTCCAAAGTTATATTTTACTTGTCTTAGTTTACTACCTAACTGTTCATAGCTATTCACACTCTGTGAAGGAATTTAGGAGAGAAGAATTTTGTTTCTGAAAACGTTATACATTTACACTGACTACCAATAAGTATTTGGACACCTGTGATAGAAAAGAAAAACTAACTTTATTCAAAATCAATAGTTGGTAGAGCCTCCACGAGAGGTAATTACAGCATGGACCCTCCGGGGCATACTTTCCACAAGTCTTTGTCTGACAGCTAGTGGTATTTTCTTCCACTTGGCTTAGAGAAGGCATAGAAGTTCCTTCACCGATTTTGCACGGGTAATGCACCCATGAATTCGGCAATGCAACTTGTCCCAGAGGTTCTCGATAAGATTCAGGTCTGAACTCTGGGCAGGCCAGTCCATTCAATGAACTCCATTGGCACCATACCAAGCCTTGGTTAACGTCGAAACATGACAACTGGCATTGTCGTCCAGAAGGTAACAGGGGTCTAATCCGTAAAACTGCCATAACATAGGAAGCACATTGTCATCCAAAATAGTGCAGTAGGCATCGGAGTTGAGCTTACCATGAATGGGGACCAAGGGTCCCAGCCAATACCAGGAGAAACACCCCCAGACCATAATTCCACCTCTTCCGAACTTGACTGTTGGGACAATGCATTCTGGCAGGAGACATTCTCCAGGTAGACGCCTGACCCAGACCCTGCCATCCGAACGGTAAAGGGTGAAACTTGATTCATCACTCCAAAGAACCCGTTTCCACTGATCTACGGTCCAATTTCGATGTGCTTTGCAGCACATTAACCGAGCAGCACAGTTGGATTTTGTGATCAAAGGCTTATGGGCAGCAGCACGACCATGAAAACCAAGCAGATGTGTTTCCTTACGGATGGTATTCATTGAAACAATACTCCCGGATGCCTGTTGAAACTCCTCGCGGATGAGGGCCATCGGTTGGGTGCGGTTCTTCCGAATTTCTGTGGACAGCACTCGTCGGTCTCTATCTCCCAGTTTCGATCGTCTGCCGACTCGGGGCACATTCCGACAATCATTGCTCACCTTCCACTTCTTAATCACATAGGCCACTGTCGATTTTGGGTACTTCAGATCGCTAGATATGTCGCTTAAGGATCTGCCATATTTGTGATACCCGATAATTATACCTTTCTCGAAATCAGAGAGCTCCGAACTGCGAGGCATCTTGCATGCGACTAAAGCCGATGCTGTTTTCTACACGATATATACCGGCGGAGTCCGTGAAATACCTTAGGACCGCAGATATCGTCATTTGCATAGGTGTCCAAATACTTATTGGTAGTCAGTGTAGATTGAAGGGGCCAAATATGTTAAAAAGTGCTATTAAGATATGATCACTGAACTGTGATAACTAATCACAAAAATAAAATTTTGTAGCATATTACAGCCTGTGACAATGTGTATATTTGATTTTCTTATACTTTGTGATTATCAGCGTGCATACTGAATTCTGCAAAAAATATGCATAGATGAGGCAATGCACCATGTTGTTAAAACGTATTTATGGGGTAACCCAAGATGTCACAAAAAAGTATTTATGTGGCAACAGTTCTTGGATAATCATTATCAGTGTGCAATGATCTAATGCCTTTTTTAGTAATGAAATTAGATCACTGTATTCATGAGGAGAATAGTAGCTTCAAAAAATTATGGAAGAATTTCTCATAAAAGTTTGCTATTTTGTTTTTTAGAAAATAGGTGGCACTGAATAAATAAATCATTGAAATAAATACCCCCTTCCAAAATTCTTTCCCCTTTTCTGCAAAGTCGGTAGTGACTTTCTTTTTTACGTTTCTAACTTTTTTACTTTCTTGTTTTGATTTTAAAAAAATCCCCCCCTCTAATGAATTAGAGTATTTCAGTCTGAAATTAGGAGAATTCTAACATTATATTAGAATTCGAAGGATTAGTTTGCAAGTCCTTCTCTTTTTTAGTCACTGATTAAAAGATGTAATAATAAAGTAATATTGTGTGAACTTAAAGGAAATGAAGATTATCTCCTTGTTAAAATTTGATTGCATACACAATAAGTCAAACTGTGCGTGTAATAACATTTACAGTTTGCATTTCAGCTAGATATTTGAGTCCTTAAATATGTATTAGCTGTGAATATTTATTTGTATTTTTTGAATGTTTAAATCATAGTTTTTTAATTTAACCAACTCTCAGACTTGGATGGAAATTCATAGCTTCCAGTTCTCATTTTTAATTGTATGTCCTGGTTCCCTGGTAGATGTATCAAATTTCCCACCAAATTTAATTTTTAGCCTTTGCTTTGAAAAATTTTTCCTCGTAATTATTCAAATTTCCTTCCATCACTCCTAATAATTTTCAGCCTAATTTTTTTTAATTAAATTATGTTTTATCTGAATTGTTTTATTCTAATATACACATTTTTAGAACTTTTTATGAAGGTTCACTAATATTTAATCATTCAATATTTATATTAAATTTTTTCCATCAATATATGATACATTGTTAAGTTTATCCAGGCAATAGTATGTGCATTAATTATTATTTTCATCATGTACAAGTTTTCTTTCCCTGCTCAGGATTTTCTCAATATAAAAGTTTTTAAGAAAATTACAAAGTGAAATTAGCCAAAGAACATAGATTTTGTTATAGTTAATTAATATATTTTATATCAGAATCATATTATAAATAGTTCAGTAACCTGAATCATGCATTATAAAATGTATTTAAGTTAGGCTGGAATTCTTTTGAAATGGTGTTGCTGTGCAGCATTAAAATCTTTTGCAAACACCTAGTTTTCATGCGAGAGCCACCCCGTTTTTTACATTTCAAAGCTGGCAACTATGGGAATTTATTTTACTAATATGCGCTAAATAGCAGTAATTCCAGGTGGGATTTTTATTTGAGGAGAGAAATAATTATTAAATTTATAATTTTTTATTTTTTATTTATTTATTTATTTATTCATTATTTATTTATTTATTTATTTATTTTTTGTAGTCCCATAAATATAAATGCATTTTAGCATTTCAGTGCTTGGTACAGTCTGCCTACCATGAGAAAAGCTCTCGCCAGTTAGTCTGCAGCAGTCTGTTGTAGAAAGGAACCTTGACCCATTTTTCCAAAGG